AGAATACCCCATAGGATTTACTAAGCTAGGAACAACATAATAAGAGACAATCTGTGAATTAATGCTCAAATCCAAACATAAGGACTTTATACACTAGAAGAATTACTTTTATCCCCACTGAAACTTTTCAAAAAATGTAAACACTGTTATTTATCAGCTCCCCAGTGAAAAATATTTGTGGCTTTCTTTTAAAAAATGATGAAGCAAAACAGATGCTGCAGTGCAGAGCAGAACGAAACAGGGAACAGTTGTTCTCTCGCTCTCCAGCGTGCCCATGCACATTATTTGCAATCATGCAAGGCCTCCTGAGGCCAAGTGCTGAGCTGGGATGCAGCCCTGCTGCCCTGAGAGCTGTGCACGTGCAACTGAGATCAGGATTTGGCCATGTACTTGCTTTCCTGGCCCAACAAGCATAATCCCTGAGATATAAATTCTTACAGATGCATGGACAAGCCCAGCCACAGCATAACTTCCCTGCTGGCAGGGCTCACGTTCCCTGCCTGGGGTGCAGCTCACAGGGCACATGTTTGCCTTTCACCAGGACATGAAGTAAGACTGTCTGCTCACTTCATTTATCAGCTGCCACAAGTAGGGAGCTTGTTGTAATTCTGTCACGTTAAAGCCCACTAAACCATCAGCTTACCCCAGAAAACAGCACCATCCTCTTGCTGTCAAGTGCCCAGTGGCCAGCGAGGCTGTGACATTGGTCCTGCAGGCTGGCATGAACTCCCAGCTGAAGAGGAAGCCATTTCACCAGTCTCTCACTCCCCCAGCATGAAGAGATTGTTTTCCATCCAGCACGGGGCTCACAGAGACTCCAGCCCAAACAGGGGTGCCCTGCGTCAGAAGAGGGGCTCTGGATGCTGCTCCCACCCAGCTCCTGACAGGGCCCTGCACCAGAGCACACATGGTCTGCAATCAACTCCTTGGGGAGCCACCCCATGCTCCTGAGGGCACTTCTGTGCCTGAACGAGCCTGATGAGCAGCACCTGGAGCCTCCCTGCCCTGCCCTGGCCATTGCAGCTCAGCCTGGGCTGTCCATCCCAGCCCCAGGGACAATGATGGACACTGTCCACCAGTCCTGTCCCAGCCCAGCCTGTCCCCATCCTGGCTCCATCTCTGCAGCCCTGCCTGGCTGTCCTACGCTGTGTGCCACACTGGTGCCCCTCACCAAGCCCAAACCAAGGAGCACTGATAGGTTTGAGCTTACTCTGGCAGGGTCTCTGGGGCTGAAAGCTGGCTGTAGCAGAGACCGGGATGTTAGTTTTCCACACAAGCTTACCCAACACTAGCATTGCATCCTCCATAAATCCCACTTCAGAATTCATAGTGAGAGAGCGCTAAGCTAGGATTGCCAAGATCATTTCAGTCTTGTTTTAACATCTAGCTGCTTTTTAAGACTCAGTCTCACCTGGGGGCAAGACTGAGTTTTGTTGAAGATTTAAGTGATAAAGACCTACAATAAACCAAAGGTTTTTTCCAAACTATGGCAGTTCATCTGACAAGCACTAAAAAACAGGTAGGGAAGAAATGTGCAGCACAGACAGGTCTGGCCTAATGATAAAACCCCTTAGAGGAGGAAGGTCAAATAATGTATTGGAAGCCTGAACTTGCAGTTACAGTCCTTTACCATTTTCTTCTTGGTTCATTAGGCAAGAAACCAGACCTGATTTCCATGTTTCAAAGTTCAGCCAATTTTATCCATTCATAAACAGCTTTTTCCAAATGTCACCATTTCTTTTTTTTCAACACCTATGAGGAAAAAATTTTGGCATCTGTAGAACTGGAAAATTTTAAGAGCAGGTATTTTGGACAGCTATCAGGAACAACACGGATTATCCAGCTTTGGGACAAAGCAATGGACTAGCTAACTTGTCAGAAACTTTCTGTGGGTTTAGAGACTCCTTCTGAGGCAGAGGGTGAACTGATGGAATAATTCACTTTTTAGACATCAGCTTCCTCAGTTCTTGCTGCAGTTCAAACCAGCAGGCAAAACCCCTGCCGTTCACTACAAACAGTGTTGGCCTTGTGCTAAGGTTGCAGTTCATGATACTGACAACATTAATTTATAGCAAACAAATACAGCCTGTGATAAGCTTGAAAAAATTAGAAAAGGCCTTGGCAGAGCTTCAGTACAAATTCAGCACAATGTTTTTTACTTCTTGTCCCTTGGAATGGTATTCCTCTAATAGGTGTTGTTTCACATGAAATCATTTAAGATTGATGCTCTTGAACTATCTTTGACTCTTTCAGAACTTGCCGTCTCTCCCATCAAACAGCTTACAAATGCTGATATCAGAATATACAGTTCAAAGATGGCAGGAAAGCCTCTGCTTTATGCTGTTATTTGTACATTCATGTACATTCATGTACAGGCATGAGTGACTTATATTTACAACGAACCATTTGTATTGTGAACACATGTATTTTACAAGGTTCATCATTTTCCCTACAGAGCTTGTAAAAACTTTGGTAACCTTGATACTAAGGACCTGAAAAAAGCATAAAAATTCTTCAAACCTTGCAGATTTGCAAGGAAACATGGTTTTATATTAGAAAACCTATGAGTTATTTGAACCTACATGTAAAATACAACTCCCTTCTCTCCTCCAGCCTTAAAAAATTGGTCTAGCTGGCAAACAAATGAGAAATTACTCCCTTCAGGATCCATACCAGAGTTAAAAACAACAATCTGATAGAGTTTACATCTGAATGATATTAGAACAAGACTTCAGAGGAGCAAAGATTTTAAAAGTGAGTAAAAGGTACCAAGGTTTCACTTCTGTTATTTAGAGAACTTCAATTTTTCTTTTTAAACAAACAAAATTTTCTCTTTTGTCAGAAATGGGCTACTTTATAATCAAATGATTGCTTTTTTCCCCAAAAAGTCATAACCCTTAAACAGCTATTTTTTTTAATATGCGATTTCTTACAAATGGAAAAAAATTATTAAGTACCTGAAATAGTATTAATGCAACTTAAAAAAAAAATCAACTTGTAACATTACATAGCCCCTAGTAATGATCTGCAAAGAGCCCCATGCACTTGCATCCTTGTGACTGTATCAGAGTGTGGCCTCAGTCAGCACTTCTCAAAGGGGGGTCCTTAGGAAGCAGACACTTTCCTTGCTTTAAAAGAAATAACACACATTTAAACTCTTCTTGCATGCAAGTAATTGGAAAATTACCACTTCTGTAATGCTAGAAAATTATGAAGGGAATGAAGGTCAGCACAACTTCTTAGTGGACATAAACAGACATAAACAAGGCAATCCTTCTCTAGCCATATGGCCCAGCCACAAGCTTAAGAACTCCTGGTACAAGCCTATTTAAATTGCAGATTTTTATAGGGGTTTTTAATACTTTGTGTTTGTCAGGTTGCTTATATATGCTTCCATATTTAAACTTCTATTCTTGCAGTCTCTTAGCCTTCTGCCTGACTGCAGTTCCTCAGGGCAGAGTGAATTATAAAAGAAAAATGGTATAAATCAAAATTCCTTGTAGATTACACTGTGGGGGAAAAAATAGAGAGAAACACAATGCTCTTACTGCGTAACTCTCAATTATAGAAAAATAACATCAGTGAGAAAATTACTGCTTTCATAATTACTCTTCTCAATAATTGTTTTTTGAAATCCCATGGAAGGCTCTCAGAGTGCATTTGAAACTTTGAAGCAGTGAAGTAGATCAAAGTACATCTGTGTTTATTCTCTCTTACTAAGGAAGCTGTACGGTATTTGACAGCTACAGGCAATGTGAATTGTGTGGAACTTGTAGGATCAAAACAGCAATAAACTTTAAGCAGTATATGTCTTGATAGATTTAAATACAAAATATGAATGTTATGTTGCCAGTTCAATGGATTGTGGTGTTTTTCTCTCCTCAGGATAAGTGTGCCATGTTTTAGACAAGAAACAAAAAAAAAGAAAAACAGTATTTCTTTTAGTCATGAAAAGTGTAGCTTTCCCGTATTTTAACCAAACTGTATTTGGGGGGAGAGAAAAAAGTTAAAGTCTGAATTGAAGAGAGAGGATAAAGAGATAGGACATGATTAAATGGATTAGATCACCTCTGGAACACAAACTTCCATCAGGAGTGTGTGTAGTGCTACAAACACTATCGCCAAATCTTCAATACAGAAATACTTCTATGGGTAGGAATTAATCAGAGCCAGGGTTAACAAATGACAGTATCTTCTTTAACAGAAAGAACGATTGCAGAGAGATTAACATTTTTCTCTGTCATTCAGTGCTTTGACCAATGGGTCCACCAGGATATCTGTTTCTTATATGGCCTGGCTGCATTTGCTAGAGCTGTAGCTGGAAAGAAAGGGACCTTCAGTGTTACTGGCCCAGCCTTTGCAATGAAAAACTCATAGAGGAGCAAAATACCGAGGAAGATGTTTTGCCTGGAAGCACAAGTTCATCCTCCGAAGCAACAACTACCCTTGGCTTTGTCAATTTTCCAACAACAGCTGCTAGTTATCTGTCATATGAATATGCTTTCAATATACTGTGCAGCTGGACCAACTTGAAACCAATTTGAAAAACATGTTTATAGAGAAAGGCAAAGGAAATGACCTGTAACATTGTAGACACAATATGTTCCACATGAGAGCTCCATCAGTTGAGTTTTTACCAACTCAGTTATTTTATTATCATTCAAGGTCTCCAGTTTTCATTGTGCTGCTCTTTGTTAGTAGGTCGAGGAAGCCTCTGACTTTCAATCTGTTTCCAATATTTTCTGTGGTTCTTTGGTCCCAGAGGAAAAGCAGCAGTAAAACAGCCATTTAAGTGAATGGCTCTACCACACATTCCTGTGCAACTACAGAGGAGTGCAATGACTAAACCAGGGTTTTCTTGCCTTGTAGGTGTGTGAGAAGAATGAGCAAGCAGGTATTTCTTTTGTGGCTACGAAGAGACAAGAATGAGCTTCAAAGGAGAGGTGATATGAAATGGTTCCAAAGAAATAGTTTTTCTTCCAAGCAAATTCCCTGTAAAATGTGATGAATCTGCCTTGAACAAAGTGATCCACCTTCCACCCACCCCCCACTCATATCAGTATTTAATGAAATGTGACAGATAGACTACAATTCTAACTATTTTGGATGTTAGGGTCCCATCTTTGAATATAATGAAGGAGAAAGTTGATGAAGAGAGCACTTTCTCATCTTTCTGCATACATTCTTAATTCAATCCAGAATTATTTGCAGTAAGCCAAACTAATCACCTTTGTTTCATGACAAAATCTCTTATTTCAATTTTCAGAAGCCTGTTATTCAGTGAGGGGGAGGTATTGAACATCATGACCTATTCTGATTTCCCTGATTGAATAACCATTACCAGTTTCTTCAAACATGAGAGAAGTTCCAGCAATTAACTTCATTCAGAAAATACAAAGGTAGCATAAAGGAAGCAAAATATTTAATTTAAAATTGTGTATGAATCAGAAACAAGCAAAATCCCAAACTTCTGTTGCAAGCCTTCCAGTGAGAAAACAAAGTCAAATGTTTGACATATAACATACTGCAACATCCTGAACATACCAAGCGTCAGCTTTGCTTAGGTAGGAAAATCTTTGGCAGCAAACCAAGAGGAAAAAATTCCCCAACCCTTCTACAGGCAGTCTGCTGCATAGTAGTAAAAACCAGCTAAGCACAACAGGGAAGGAACATCATCTTTCACTATGAAATTTCTCAAGGTAGGAGTATTATGGAGTTTTATAGGGGAAAAATAGCATATAGGTATATATTCCATATTTTTACATACTTGAATTATTTTTTTAATCTGGCCAGGCTCCTGGACCAGATCTCCTAATGGCATTTGCATCAAACAAGCAGCTGAGCTGCTCCATGGCTGGAGTGCTTAGTCACAGAACATCACGGGTGTGACATACTGCCTGCAGAACACAGCACTGGGCCTTGGGATGTCTTTTCCGCCTTTTCCTTGAGACACTACAGCAACATTTCCACATCAAAATATATACTTTTTAAGAAAAAACCCAACATTTTAAATAATTCACAGAAATTGAAAGGATTTCAGGTAGCTGTGATGTTTCAGGAGGCGGTGGATCAAAGTGTGGTCTCTCTCTCTACTCCTTCTTCATTCCTTCCTAGCAGATCTGATTTCAGGGTTGGAAGCTGAGAAGTGCAGAGAAACTTAAGTAAGAAGCAGAGATAAATTAGTAGCAAAAAGCCTCTGTCTAAAACTGGACCTGCACATTCCCAATGTTTTTGTATTACAACCCAGATTTACAAAGTGTTTCCAATCAAGCTGGTAAAAAGAATATTTTTCTTTTATCATGTTTTACCAAGCAAAAAAAGCAAAATGATTTAACTTAAACATCTAGACTTGCCTGGGTGTAATACGGAAGAATCTGGACACTGAATGTAAAGCAGCTATCTTATCTGTGATGCCTAAACATTTCCATGTGTACAGACAAAAATATTTCCCAAGAATGGTGTTGTTTATGTTCTGCAGCTTGCTTGTTTTTCTTTCACTGAGCTCCTTTTCATACAAGTTTAACAGAGATTTTTCCAACTGAATTAATTTTCAGATAAATTCCTGAAACTGAGATTTGACTATGGCTATAAGATGAAATTGTTTGCACTCTGTATGTTTTCCTTTGTTTCATGAAGCCTACTGTTTACTGGAGAATAGCAAATTAATAATTTCTAGAAAAGTCATATTTTGTCTTTTGTAGTTGAACTCCTATGCATAAAAGGAACTTTTCATCTGGGCAAAAATCCATACCTCAGTCAGATTTGGTTCCACACACCTCAGTAGCATGAATGTGATTTGTTGTTAATGTTTTCCCTGTGATGTCTCACAAATAGCTAATACACTTGCTTAAATCAGACAGGTTCCCTGCTCAGTCTGAGCTTTGTTTACTTACATGTTCATAGAGGAACAAAGAGTGCCAAGATTAATCATTCAGCTTAATTTGCTATCTCATACTCTTGTAATGAGCAAGCTCTCACTACAGTTTTTGCAATTAGCATGTTTTAATAAGGCTGTCCAAGTATAGATTATTACCCCAATTAATTGCTTTGGGAAGGGTTTTATGAATACTTCTAATCAATTAAGAACCATGAGTCTTTTGAAAAGGAATACATTCTTACATGAACAAATTGATGTGCAGAATCTATTTGAATTTTTTTGTTTGGTATTTTTTTACATGTTTCTTTGGGTTTGCTGTGTTGTTTGTTTGGAGTTTTTTTCTTTTTTGCAATATGACATAGGAAATCTAACTCCAAACTCCTTTAGAAAGTAAGAAAATAACTAATTTTAATGACCTTTTAATGTAGGTGTTTCATTACGGAAGCTAGAGAAATAGCCAAAGTCTTATTTGATTACAGTGGAGTTCTACTTTCTTCTGCACCTTATGAGTTTGGGTTACTTAGATAGATGCAAACTTTATTAGAGAAACTTTAATAGTTTCTAAATAGTCTTGCTTTTCTGCAATGGTAGAACTCCCTGACCTTTGCCCAGGTGTAACCGCTGTTGACACAACCTGTCTCTCAGCAAAGGGAACTGGATTTCAAAATGGTTCAGAGTTGAAGGCAACTGTCCAAGCCCTAAGCTCAGACTTTATCAAGTCTGCAGATGAAAAACAAGCCATATAGGAGAAGAATGTTCATGATTTATATCACCCATGAAGGCCATCACATACAAAAAGCAAAACAGAACAGTAAATTATCCAGCAATCCGTAAAAAGAAATTTCAGTTAGGCCTAGGGGTGGAATCAAGCTGCTCAATCCACTCTCTTCCTTGAACCTTCCTTGTTGATGGGGTTTTTTTAAGCGTCTTGGACTCTCCCATTATCTGTCATCTGCCTTCACTCCCACTGGTGGTGATCCTGCTGTGCTCTGTTAACACCAATATAGCATCATTATCTGGATCATATTTAGTGGGATAAAATGGAGATTCATCTGTCAGTCTAAATCCTTCTGTTAAAACTGGAGGTGGATGAGAGCACACTGACAGCCTGATTTACCTTCAGCCCCTGCAGAGCCCAGAATGGGAACTAGGGGAATATTGAGAAAGACAACATGCTAACCATCAGAATTAGAAACCCTGGAGAGGCCTCTGCAGTGGGCAGATACTCCTGTATCTTGTTACAGAATAATTCTAGCACCACCTCATCAGCATCTGGTTCTGGCATTGTTGGAGACATTATATAGGTGTAAACAATGTGCTGATCCACACCAGAAGAGGAACTCCCAGACCCATCAGATAGATACTGCACAAATATGGGAGTTGAAAGTTTCAACTGGCTTCTATTAATCACAGCACTGAGTGTTCTGTTACTCATGTACTTTTTTAGATTATGACTTTTTTGCTGTAGTCATAATCTCTCACTCTATACCACATGCTGACCTCAGCACCTTAAAAATTGTAAGGGAAAGGACTTTATGCTTTTGTGTATCTTTGAGCTATGGCTGAGTCCTGCCATGACCCTGCCAACCTCACAGAGTCCAGGGAATAGGCCTGAGTATGAGAATCAGCCAGTCTTTTACATGACAGAAAGCTCAGCCCAAGGACAAGCTAATTAAGTGGAAGATATCCATAACCAACGAGTGTAAGGTCAATCCTTCTCAATGCTTCATTAAATATTTTTTTTTCTGTTTCTAAGAATTCTTGATTCTTAGTTTCTGGGAATTCTGGAACTGCAAATACCTTTATTCACTTCTTTTATATTAGTATATTTCACACTTATTTCAAATAAATAAGAATTTAAATGTATAATATATATTCAGCTTCTAGCTAGGGTAATAAAATACTTTCTAAATCCTAAGCAAGTTGTGCATGGCTCATATAATGAAGCTGCAATACTACAGTCATAATCTGACTACTAGAGGTCAATGGTAAAAATATGATATCTATGTCACAGGAGATACATTGGCAAGAATCCACCGACTCTATAAAAGAAAACTTATAGGTTTTGGTGTTTCTCACCTGATGAGTCAATAGCAGTGGTACAAACTCATCCCAAAGTCATGAGAGCTGCCTTTTTTTTGCTCCATACCCAAGATCTCATTACTGCCATTCTTTTCTCTCCTTATCCATTACCTGCTCACATGTTAAGTAGCATCTGCAAATGTGAAAAAATAAAAAAAAAAAAAGAAGATACCTACACATAGCTATCAAAACAGTAGGATATGAGCATGTCCCAGGGCCCTACAGTTGAAAAAGCCTTTGATGAATTAAAAGATGCAATATTAATAATATATAAATCAAGAGAAAGTACCAAGAAAGCTTGGAGCACATGCTGGATAGCAGATTCTGCTCATCCTGGCCTCTTCAAAGTACTCTCAAAGGTCTTCAGAATATATTCAATAGTATTACTCTTCAAAACTATGGTTAGCATATATTACCTTAACAAATAAATGATCATAAGAAGGTCCCCATACATCAAACACATGTGCCTGGACTGGGGCCCATGTTAGGATTTAGGCATTGCTGATCTTTTGGAACATAATAAACATCAAACAATATTAAGAATATAAATTTGTTAAGCAGGGATTATAAGAACTGACAATATTTTGTGACTACAAGATTGTGGACTTTTTAAAATGTAGATCAACAAACCATATGATTCAGGAAATCTTTATTTACTGAAACTCCTAGAAAAATAGACATTATTTATCCTCAGACTTTTGGACTCAGTTTGATAACAAATGGGATGAAAGACTTCATAGGATAAAGGATGCTTCTGAAATGCTAACATTGATGTGTATTTTTTCCTTTTATCACTCTGTGGTTAGCCTTCATAAGCTTTTCAAAGTGGAGTACCAGAGTATTTCTATTCAAAAAACTGAAATAAGAAATTACTACAAAGATGAATTTCAGCTGGAATATAGCCAATTATTAACAGGGAATGCTCTTTGTGAGTGACAACATCATAGGAGGCTGTATTTTTAATCATCTAAAAAGCAAACAACTGCAAGAAAATTGCAATAGCTGACACTGGTTTTCAGTATTGCTTACCCTAAGACAAAATACATGTCCTAAAGGAAAATACTACACATTTTCATTTTGGGACTCAGCTGGTTTTGTTACTTTCTTGATTAGACAAAAATTGATTTTTCCCTCTGAACCTTTTCAAAGACATAGGTAATGCAAGCTCTGCTCTCTGTGATAAGGCCAAGATTTACTCAGCCATGGCCAACTGATGTGCTGTTGGCTTGTAATCAGATGCTAAAAAGAACAGATGGCTTACACAACTTTAATTTGCTATTTTATTTATCCTTATGCTGCCCCTTTATCATATAAGTATTAAACATTTATATTATACAGTTAGAAAGACAAGACAATTTAGAGCTAGTTTATGAACTAATCTGACAAACTACCATCAATGCTGAGATGCAAAATAAATCACTTAAGTAGGATTCCAGATCATTGTTTTTTTCTGACCTAGTTTGGGATGGAAACAGCAAAGACTACCATTACAAATTCTTGTATTCAGTAATGCTTGCCAGCTCAGTAGTTGATGCTACATCAGTGATTGTGGAGAAAAATAAACAAACATAAAACAAAAAAAAACAAACATCATCTCCAACTGCATGAAAAGCAAATAATTTCTTAAAAGTAAACTCAAGCACTGAAATCTGGCAATCTTCTATTTCCAAAATGCTTCTCAACAGAGAATGATGACATCTCCAATTTGTTTGATTACTTCTTGTGATCTTTTATTCATTGCAAGATCTGGGCTTGATCATCTCCACATGATGGTCCTAGCACTTGTCTTCACGGAGTCAGACCATTTCATCTGATAACGTAGATCTCCTCATCATAAAATTGAAACTTCTGAAGACTTTGCAGTATTGTTTTGGCACTTGGTCAGAATAGCTCCTGATGTCATCCTTCTTAGGAGACTTGACTCTAAGTAAGATTATTGCTGGGCAAGAGTTTGCAATGCTACAAATTAGGTCATTAATTGCAAAGTTCAAACCTCTACAATTTGACAAAGACAGCTCTCTGTAAGTAGGCTCAGTACAGTTTTCAAGTCTCCTTCTAAGAAGATATTCATCATAGGTCATATTGTTCAGCATGAACTGCTGCATTTTTGGTACACTGCTTTAAAAATATATTTCTGGCCATTCTGTATCTAAGGCTGCTTCACTGAGTTGACCCCAGAGAATCTAATAAAATACTAGGTGCAGAGTCTGATGCCACATTCATTCTTAAAATGCTCATTGACAATTCAAATTTTCTATTAAATTTCCACATATTATATGATAAGCATACATGTAGAAATTATCTGTGTGTGAACCACTTTAATTTGTCTGGTCACTTAGGCATAACAGAAGACAGAACTGAGCTCATCAATTCCATTCTTTATTTATTTATACACTGATTCATTTAGAGGCTCCCTGTCGAAAACATCAGTCACATCAGGACACAGCATCAACAGACAATTAACGTTACATTTAATGCCAAGTACTCATTAAGGAAAACTAAACAGATGCAAGTGCAGTGATGCAAACACTCTATTGTTTCTCAGCGTAGGCAAAACATGAAAGGTAAAGCTAAAAAATGCTTTTGTATGACTACCTTTCATTTGATCTTCTTAGCCCACATATAATGCCCACAGTATTGCTTAACTTATAAGATATTTACCTCTGATCCGTACATGATTAAATTAGAGAATGTGCAAGAATCAGTGACTGTATTATATGGAGTATATGTACAACTCTACTATTAGAAATTTCTATAGCTGTTACAAATTTCTACACTTTCAGTTCTGCAGACATCTGACCTAAGTTTCAGTGAAATCACTGGGTAAAGAACCAATTCAGTACTTTCCTTCTCTGTTGGGGAGAAAAAAAGATAATTGGTATATCCCAACTGTGTTTCCTCCTCCTTTGTCAAAGTCAGTCCCATATTATTCAGGAAGAGGGACATCATGGTTAAGATCAGACACACTCCAACAGCACCTGATGGACATCTACCACTACATAAAGTAACAAAAAAAATTATAAAGTTTTTAATTCAGCAACAAAATTATTTTAAAAAATTAAACAGATTTCACATAAACCAGAAAATAACAAAGTAAATTAAATTCATTTTCTCATATCAAGAGTATATCCAGTTCAAATAGCAAGGTTCTTTAGCCAGGCCCCCATGAGACTTTAAGCTGTTTTCACAGGTGTAGAATAAAACACACGTTATAGATAGTATGCAAATAAAACAAGGCCAAGGGAATAATCTATCAGTTGATCAGTGTGTTGTTCTGGTGTATAATTGACAAAAGGCAGGACAAAAAAGGTTATAAAAGCAGCATAAAAGAACTGAAAACCCATTTACTTTGTCTTTAAAAAAATGTGGGCGCTTGTGGTTCTCATAGGTGCTGCATCTGTTTCTGCTCATCTGCAGGATCTTTCCTTTGATGGGTAAGAATGGACATCAAATTTTATATTTGCGTGGGGTTTTTTGCACAAGCAAAAGTCTTTCAATTGGCTTACCTGTTTCAAATCCAATCCTTTTCTCCCTTTCCAGACAGAAGGTGTTTCGTGTGATTCCACAGAATGATGAGCAGGTGGAAATCCTCAATTCCCTTGCCAGCATCATGCAGGTGAAGAACCTGGGGAAGTGGTTATATTGTAGTTGAAAAAAACATTTCTCCTTTTGCTCAATTAACATTTATCTTTTTTCAAAAAATTATATTACTGAATTAAAGACCTAATCTTGATTCAGTTCAAGTCAGCTGAGTGTTTCTTCAGAAGGAATAGGACAAGGTGATAAATCTAAAGCTATACAAATACATTTCAATACCTTCCTAGAAAGTCTGGTTGACCCACTCTGAATATCAAAGTGCCCATCAGAACTTATTAATAGAATAAATAAATCTTAAATTTCTTATTCAGTGTGGGGTGGTTTCAAGAAAGTATTAGATAAATCATGGAAATTCTAACTTCCAGAACTTTTACCATTACAGGCAAAACATTTTGCTCATGTAAAGAGTATAGAAATTCATACTCCCAACAAACTGAACTTTTCTTTGGCCTCTAGTTTCTCAAGTTGTTTTTCCTCTTCTGGCTTTCCTTTAAAGCTTCCTTTCTCTCCAAGCTGCATGTTTCTCACTGACCTTGATGTAGATATATGATGACACAGTGACATGATGAAAAACAATAAAGACAGAAAATGTGTTTTCAATATTTCTCTTCAGCTTTGATGTTGTAAAATAGCTGTTGGTGAAAAAGACACCATTATCTGTAGGATGAAAGGATGGTATTTTTAATGAAGTACAGATGTGGAGAACTATCAGCAACAGGCTAGTATAGCATGCTGGAACAGTATCCTGAAGAAGAACAAACTATTAGAATGGTGCTGCCAATATTAAGAAAATTAATACATACCATACTTGCTTTTAAGTGCGTAGAATAAAGGGATTGTTTGTTTTCTTTTCCTTTTAAGCAAAGATCCCTGAAATACCATTGTTATACAAAGCAATCAGTCAGGAATGATGTAATCCTGAATTCTGGAACAACCACCTTACTTGATGACACATAACTGATTAATAACTAGCGCAAATTCTTTTACACTTCTAGTTAAAATTTAGGTTGATACTTCTGGCAAGCAATGTCTGATTAGTGTAACAGGATAGGAATGAAATTCAGTATATTAATCACAATCAACATCACCATCACACATAAACCAACCTAAAAATCACAGCCACATGTATATATTTATTTGCTTATCTATTCATTTGCCCTTCTTTCAGGTTGACTTTTGGCAGCCAGACTCTGTCACTCTGGTAAGGCCAAAAATGCAAGTTGATTTCCGAGTTGGAGCCGAGAATTCTTTTATGGTTGAAGAACTTCTGAAGGAAAGTGGAGTGGAATATCAGTAAGTTTGTTCTCACTACTATATTTTGAATGGAAGAGGACTAAATCTGGGGAGAATGTGTTTGAGCTTTTCATATTGGTCAACTGATTTTCCTGTCATGAACTTTGTCCCTCCTGTGGATGCCTCTACTGGGTTCAGCTTTCCTATGACAGTTCAAATGGACTGTAACTACTCTCTGTTGAAGGGGTGAGGTGAAATGTTGACAGAGGCAAGATACCAGAAGCAACTATGCACTACCAGAAATTTCCCTGAGGTGAAAGCTCATTGCAGTACAGTGTGGAGGGGACAAGAAAGATTTCCCACTAAAGACAACATTAAGCAGAGGTCTAGAAAGAGCCAGAAAGCACATCAGGTCAGTTTGCATGACACTAACAGGGAACTGAAGCCAGAAAATGGTGAGCCCCAAGGGTCACCATGAGCAGCTCCCCAGTAAGCTCTCTAAGTTCCAGAACAACAGCCAGAGGGCCAGAAAAACCCAACAGGTGACAAACAGAAGACAGTTGCCAGGTGAAAGGCCAACCGAGTGGGGAGAACAGATTCCTGGGACAGTCTTGGGCTTTCTCAAGTCACACAGAAGATCCACAGCAAGGATCTCTCCAAAGAGAGACCTTTTAGTTGTATATTTACTTAGAGGCAAAAAAGCTCTGAGCTGACCGAATACAACTGCAGCATAAGTGGAGGGAACAGAGCAAATGGCACATTACACATCACTGAGAACAGAAACATTGTAGTGAGCAGCACTACTGGAAGAATAAGGAGAATAAGCAGTTGCCTGGTTCTGCTCTTTAGTTCATATCTCCCAGTCACTATGTAAGCATTAACTGAGGAAGAGAAATTGACTTTCAGCTGGAGTGGAGTGGGGTTGTTCTGTCTTTGTTTCTCCTTTCGCTCCACCTGAGCATTGCAAATTGGCTCTGCCCAGCCTCATCATCAGGCTTTTTTGATGTCTAAAGGATAATCTGTCAACATCATGTACTCGAACAGTGAAAGTCAGTATAATTTGATCAAATTTTTATTATTTCATTTGGCTGAGCGTAGAGTTTTTGTCTCTCAGCCCCATTGTTGTTGCTACTAGACCAAACTCCTTCATAGGACACCACACAGTTCTCATGAAACATAACTATTATGATCTGCTAAATCCATAAGTAACCCATCCTAAATTTACTGGCCTTATGTTAATCATGGCTAATTTGGATGCTACTGTGGGAACAGAATCTAAAACCACTCTGGAATAAACCATTTTCAATAGTGCCACAGTGCACATACAGCACAGGAATCCAATTTTAGTGGAATTTCCTCTTTAGCAATGGAGGAGTAACTCCACATGTATTAGCTTTGCTATAATATTAATGAACTTCCTCAGGTCCATGCGCAAATCTTTTGATTGTAACAAAGGCCATAAGGTCTGGAAGCTGTCCCTGACAAACTTGAGTGGGTTGTCCTTGTGACAACCCAAGATGTTATAATTCTTTTAGAAGTGCAGCTGCAGTGCCATGACATGTCAACGTAGTCATTTGCACTGTTTGTTCTGAAGGCTGGTGATGCCTCACAAACTGGCCTCCTGTTCTTCTATCCAAGTCACAAATGATCAAGGACATATCCTGGATGAGTGAGATTTGTAAATGTGTTAAAACAGGCACTGGGAAAACAAGAGGATTCCATTTTTTGATGGCCAAGGTTGAAATATAAGCAAAAGGTTCTCAAGAGTATGCACAATGATGAGCTGTGCCTTTGTGTCAGCCCTAGGGAAAGGTGAACAGGAGAGATCCAACCAATCCTGTTGTGATGCTGTGGTTTTCTTGCTATTGTGTGTTCTATTTAATAGCCCACCTCACACACAATAAAGTAGCTTAGAGAATGGACAATGCCACCTGCAACAGAGCTGTCAAACCACAGCTAAACTTCAGAAGCTTGGTTTGACAGAGAATTTCATCAAGCAAAACACGAGTTTCTGCATGGGATTGAAACACTGCTGCAGTCTAACTCTCCTCCAATGCCAAAAGTTCAAGAGAGGGCCCTTTTCCTATTGAGGCAGAGGCATCTGACAACATGAGATCAGCCCAGAGCTCATTTTATAGACAAACTCTCTCTTAGGATTGCCGTTTTTCTTAAGCCAAACTGTTGCCACTCTGGAGGTTTGTTAGTATGGGAGTAAGCAGGCAGGTGTTAACTGGGAGAAGCCCATTGCTCCCTGATCATTCTGGAGGCAAGGTTGAGGCAGGAAGTAGGGTGAAACTTGAACCTAATATATCTTATTTTCAACCTGCCCACCTTTCACTTCACAATCCATGCGGCCTTAATTCCAAGAACACCTTAAAATGTCTTACTTTCCTGCTAGATTGTTGTATGTTTCTCTTTACACTTTCCATGGTGCCTTATTGCAGAGTTCTGATTGACAACCTGCAGGCTGCGATGGACGCCCAGTTTGACAGCAAAGCTCGTGCTTCTGGCCACAGCTATGAAAAGTACAACGACTGGGACACGGTACAGTCTAGAATTTTAACTCATTGTCAGCTTGGTACATTGTAGTCAAAGTGGCTTTCGTGTGCTTCCTGCCTTCTTCCCTTTTCCTCTTCTGCTCCATCAGTTGGTATGATAATGCCTCCTAACTCTCCTTCCTCTTCTTCTTTATTGCTCATTATTGAGCTGGTTTGTGCAACCCATCCTCCTACACTTATTTCCTCTGCTTCTGCTCCTAGTGTTGCAAAGAACCTCTGGCAGAAATCCAATGACCAGGCTGAGATGCTTCACGACTAATTTCCTCTTTCCTTTTCACTACTTCTCCCATCTCCTCTGCCAAACAACTTGATTCCATTCCCTGCCCCAGTTCTAGGCCTTCATCTCACAGCATAAGTTCTCCCCTGCTTCCTCCTTTTTTCACAGTCATGCTCATTTTTCCTGACATATAATCTTGGCCATGTCACTTTTCACATCTGTGCAGTGGCTCCTTGGAAATCTACAAATTCTGTTAAGTATTAGGCCACATTAGATGCTCAGAAGGACTGTCCTGGCTTGAAGTCTGTAAATTAATTAGTCTGGACCTGAGGAACAGAGACTCAATAAATTTAACCTCTTTATTACACAGATAGCTGCTTGGACTGCTGATATTGCTGCTCAGAACCCAGACCTCGTCTCTCGTAGTGTAATTGGGGAAACATACGAAGGACGGCCAATGTACCTTCTCAAAGTAAGTGCTTTGACTTCTTCATGCCAGACTTTTCCCTTATTAACCTCTGTGAGTTCATGATGTCTATTAAAACACCAATGGTGCTAACATAATACTAGATATTTTGCAGAAAATCTAATATATTTTGTTTACTACTACTATGATTTTTTCCTTTTTTTTTTTTAGGCACATAATGAATTATTAGAAATTCAGACTTATAAATTCAATCACACTCCTGAGAGCTATTTGAATGATTAGCTACCTTTATGTTCTCTCCATCTGTTGTTTGTAAACCCACTTAGGCTAAAAGGATCTAGAAATGTCAGTCTCTAGCAACAGGAAACATATTTGTTTGCATCTTTGTCATATATAATTTTGAGCTGGTTTTGACTGGGGTAGAGTTATCTTTCTTCTCAGTAGCTGGTATGGGGCTGTTTTGGATTTGTGCTGATTTGGAAACAGCGTTGATAGTTCAGAGATGTTTTAATTATGACTCAGCAGTGATTACACAGAGCCAAAGCCCTTTCTGCTACTCACACCACCCCACCAGTGAAGGGGCTGGGGGTGCACAAGGTCTGGGAGGGGACACAGCCAGGACAGGTGACTCCAAATGACCCAAGAGACATCCCAGATCATATGGCATCATGCTCAGCAATAAACTAGGGAGAAAGAGGGTCAGGGCCACTGCATGAGGACTGACTGGCCAATTGTTTTCATTTGCATCACTTTTCTTTCTTGGGGTTTATTTCTCTGTTATTTTCCTCCTTTCATCATCAGCATCATCATCATTATTATTATTATTATTATTATTATTACTACTACTACTATTACTATTATTACTACTACTATTACTATTATTACTATTATTATTATTTCAATTATTAAACTGTTCTTATCTCAGCCCACAAGTTTTCTCTGAGTGAGCTGCTGAGTGGTACTTAGTTGTCAGCTGGGGTTAAACCACAACAATTTTTTTCGTAACATTTATGAATTAGTAAGACAATTACTTAAATAAAGGTGAAAGGATAAAGAGTACTTGCCCAAAAATTCATAAGCATTTACAATAACATATCATTCAAACAGACAAGATCAACTTTTAGAAACACCAAGGAAATAAATCAACAGTGCAGAATAATCAAATAATCTGGGGGAAGGTTATCTACATTAATAAGAATGACATTATTAAGAGTATTGTTCTAGCTTGAATATCATGGTTAGCTACAGCTGGGAGAACCTCATAGATTTCCATTTAAACACGGAATTCTGTATTTGTATAAAGTTTGACTTTTTAGGTCAGCAAGCTGACTGACTTGTTCTGCATACAATTTATTTTGTTCAAGACTCAGGGGGTTTTTTTTGTTGGTTTTTTTCCTAGATGGGAAAAAGTGGTTCAAATAAGAAAGCCATCTTTATGGATTGTGGTTTCCATGCAAGAGAGTGGATCAGCCCTGCTTTCTGCCAGTGGTTTGTGAAAGAGGTCAGTAAGCGTGACAATGAAAAAATATTTTACAAAATGCAACTATGTTTAAGAAAACCTTAAGTGAGCAGCAAGAGCTGAGGCCACTGCAGATTGCCTTTTTACCTCCAAATACCTGCGTGCATATCCCTTCTCTCACCTCAGATGGTTAAGGTGTAACTACTTAAACCAGATCTTAGTGCTTGAACCTGTAATCTTTCGACAGTGTAAGAGAACTTGAAACGTTTAAGAGGTACTAACAACTACAAGGGTTACTCACACAGTTTGTAAATTCTTTTTGCATCTGTAGCCAGAGAAAGGTGAGAGAAAAGCAAACAAGTCTGCTAACACTATAAAAACACTCACATTCTGTACACATCATGAAAGAAATAAGGAAATTCAAGGGCACATCAGAGGGCATCTGAATGCACTTCAGAACAGCTGACTTCCTACAGTGTCTGCTGCTGTATTCCTCACAACCAGCTTTACTCAGTAAAGAGAGAGGGTGGAAACCTACCCTCAGGTAAGCACAGGGTGCACTGACGAAATGTACCCAAGAGAGGAGGAAGAGTACATATGAAGCTCCCTAAACTCCAGGAAGAGGGAATTGCATATACATCCCTTTGAGCTGCCACTTCAAATTATGCAGAATGTTTTCTAAAATATGAAACCATATTCAGGAAAGTGCTGCACAGGTAAAATTATCTTCACTTCAGTCTGGAATACTTGATACTTCAGGCCTTGAATTAAACAATTTTATCTCCTTTATCTTTTCATTCTCCTCACCACCAATACAAAGCAGGTGGGAGTTATATGCTACACACTTGTCTTCAAAGAGAAGAGTTATATTACACCTCAGCTGGGTGAGATCAATCTGTTTAGCAGAACAACTTACTGATTGAATCTCAAATTTTGTAAGAATTTCTGCTTGAAGACTAAAACAAGCAAACATACAAACACAAACCAGAAGCAGCAGCTGGAATTTAAAACCCAAGTGAAGGAAAGCCAAACTACGTGAGCGAGCCATGCTGGCAGAGGCATTGGTGGCCAGTCTAATCTCAGTGTTATCAGACAGGCATGCGGTTTGTGTAGGGAGCAGTGGAAATTGGAAGTGACATTTCAGTGGAGTCAATGGGAATGTGATTTCATTAGAGCCTAATAAGGCTGCAGACAGTATGTGCTACCATTTCTCTCTCAGCAATTCACGTCACTGCAGCTGTCATTTTCACTGTCTGGTCACTTAATTCATGGGGGTACCTGACACCAGCAGCAGCTGTGCTCAGTGGGCCCAAGTGTGGATAGGCAGAAGAGCTTTAAAAGCCCTGAGCATCATCAATGGTTCACCTGGGATTGCTTCTAGACATAAAAGTGAAAAAAAACATAGAGAAAAACATGAGCAAGGTGGATTGTTACATGTATCTCGAAAAAACCCCACCCAAACAACAAAACAAAAAAAAAGCATAAAATAAAACAACAGGAAAAGCAATTTCAAGTGATCTGAAACTGCTTTTCTAGATTCTACATCCCACCCTCCCACTTGCTAGTTACAGGACAAAAAATGCCTTTCTCCATTGCATAGCTTCCTGTGTCATCCTTCATGTCTGTGTAAGCAGTACACGAGTGCAACACACTTAGAGCAAATTTCTGTGATCATTGTATGCACCATCAATGAATCTGTGAACAAGAATACAGAGTCCCAGGCCATGAACAATCAGGATATACGGGTTTTAGGGTAGGAGTTCTTGTGTTTGTTATTCGATGTATGTGTCTGGAAAAGTCCAGGGAAAAATCTGCCTCCCTATGAGTATATGCACCCACAGTATTACGACTGGAAATATCTGGAAGAATGTTATTTGGAAATATTCTCTGTAGTTCTGATAGTTGATGAAATTTCTCTGCACAACAGATATAAAAAATGGTAATAATGATTTTTCCTTCTCACATAAATTCAACCTTTAAGGTGACAGGATGTAGGAATAATATATGGACAGGAACTTTGCTCTGTCTGTAATCAAGAAGCTAGTAGATGGAAATCTCTTTCCAGTGATTTATTATCCTGTTCAAATTCAAAATTGCTTCACCATATAATTTATCTACCAGTATGAGATGAGTTTCTAACAGCAGTGTGGTTTGAGTCAGTGTAAATCCTCTAAGTACATGTAGTAACACAGAGGTGCCATCTCACGTGCTGGAGTGACCTGGATAACTTTGCCTACCACATTCATTAATTCCTGATGCAGACCCAGGCCTTTATATATAAACAGGAGATACAGTTTTATGAGGACATCATCAGCTTTTTCTACTTTTCTCCAAGTAGGCTGTTGAGACCTATGGTAAGGATACTGTCATGACTACACTTCTGGACAAGTTGGACTTCTATGTTTTGCCTGTTGTTAACATTGATGGTTACGTTTACACTTGGACAAATGTAAGTATGTTCTTTTTTTTTTCAGTTTTGTTGGAAAATTGACTGTTAGAACTGTTAGAACTCTTAGTTTTCATCTTTTATTCTATTTCAGGACCGCATGTGGAGAAAGACTCGCTCTAAAAATGCAAATAGTGTTTGCTATGGTACAGATCCCAACAGGAATTTTAATGCTGGCTGGTGCAGTAAGTATCTCCTAACAAGAGCTGCAAGAGATTATACAGAAGTGCAACAGCAATATGGGTTTCCCCTACCTGATGGTTGGTCCAGCTCTAGCTTGGGTGAAGACCTCCAGTGTAGCATTGTGCAGTAGCTTGTGTTCAATTTTTGGGCAGAAAAAAACAAGACTATGGCTACCAGCATCATCAATATGGCTACTTCTATGAACATACTTACACATATGCATATGCACACACACATATACTTACACACATGTATACACATACATACATGTACACACATACTGCTATGAGTTCAGAACAGAAACCAAAAGAGCTTTCTTTCATGGAGGGGGGGTCTCTTCTGAATGGTTTCCACTTGTCCGTTTCTTTAAAGTACCTTAGAAATGGAGGAGATATGCAAGGAGAGGACTGCTAAGTACTGAAGCAAATCAATATCCCAAATCACTTCCATAATATAGGGCTTTACATCAATACTCATGCTCTTCCAACTATGCACACTCTACAGGGCATATTTATTCAATGCTATGACATGCTTCCCATGTCTTAACTAGGCCATGAAATATTCCCTCCTCTGATACAACATGTGTGTCAGATGGATTTCCAAGGCTTACCTACTAACGTGGTGTTACATGACTCTCCTAACAAGCAACTTGTTCATTAAAGTCACCTTTCTTCTCAGCTACTGGGGCCTCAAAAAGTCCTTGTTCTTCCACTTACTGTGGCTCTGCACCTGAGTCTGAAAAGGAGACCAAGGCTTTGGCTGATTTTATTCGTGAACATCTTTCTACAATCAAGGCATACTTGACGATTCACTCCTATTCCCAGCTGCTACTGTTTCCTTATTCATATACTTACACACTGCCATCGGATTACCAGGAACTGGTAAGTCTCTTTGTCATTTTGACTTAAGGAAAAGAATAAGTAAAAATCATTACTTGCTGTTTGAGGTCCATTTAACTTCAAGCAGTTTCTTTAACATCTGGAAAGAATCTGTACTGCCAGTTTTTGAAAATATTTTAGTCTTTCTCAGCAAGAACAAGGGAAACCGTGATGGCACAGGATAAACTTAAGGGCCTTATTTAAATTCCACATACACAATGAATTTTCCACAAGGTCAGTTTTGTCTTCCAGTCACACTGTACAGAAATCCACTCTGCTGTGCAGCTCTGCTTCTTCCTGACTCCAGGGGTTGCTGTGTATGTAGCTTTAATACATGACATAGAAATATTATGCCCTGTAAGCCAAGGTAGCAGCTTGATAGATTGTAATAACTATGAATGGTTCAACTGGTACCATCAACAGCAGGCAAGGATCTCTGTCTTCCTACTGAACCTTAGTTCTCACTGAAGTAAAATGGTAAACTATTGGTACAGGTTCAGGACAATGAGGCAGCTCTTGTCAAAAATATAATTGAAAACAGAGATACAAAACAGGTAAAACATTTCAGTTCTGAGGCCTTTTTCAAGAGGCCTGGATTCAAACACACATTTTATTTGGAAGATGAGAGGATGAATGTGGTTTTTTTAAAGGGCAATGCCTCTTTTATTGATCCTAGAGAAAGGCCACACCCTAATTCCATTTAAGTAAGACAGCAAAAGTCTGGAATATATATTTTCTTTATCCTTAAAAACAGATAGAGGGCTTAGAACTACTAAATGTGTATAAAAGCTGTAAACATTTTATAGGCCAAGAATAAACAATCATGAATAATAAAATGACTTCACTTCTCTGGCATATTAGCAATTAGAAGCTGTTGGCAGGGAGAACAACACAGCAAGACAAAACAAACACATTTTCATTCCCCCTCTTTCCAGGATGATGCCAAAAGTCCAAGGCAACAACACTGTGTGTTGCTTTGCTGTGCAGGTTTGACAGATTTATGACTACTCCCAAATAGATGTCTTGATTCTGAAGCACAAATACAAACTGGGGCCAAGAGTGAAGTTTCTTGTTAGATTTTTTACAGCCTAAAAGAAAAGATAAAGATTTTGTTTTCTTAATTTATATTCCAGGAATTTTGTAATCAGAATTATTCCAGGGAACTATAGTAATTTCTTGTCTTCAGTTTTTACAAAAGCTTTGTATTTCACACATTGCAGTTTAGTCTAAAGTAATAAAACAGCACTAAACCCTTGAAGCTGCTTTGTTGTCAAGATCACAAAGTTCCCATTTATTAAAAATTTGCATGACATTCTGTCCCCATTTGTTGAATCAAGAGCAAATGTGATGAAACATAACTAAAAGTACAGTGTGTTTCTCACAGTATTAAATGGAAAAGGTTTACACTGACAGCTCATTACTAAAACAATCCTTATCAATGAGAAAGAACCTGTGTATTTTCTAGGTTTTAACATTCTTTTATTAAATTAAAGTTTTAGATTGTCAGTGTTCTAGTCTAATACACAGTAAAATTTAATGAATCACCCATAGTGAAGTGCTACAATTTTCATCATTTAAAACTCCCCTTTCCTGCCATAGAAGACAATTCTGCTATTACCATAGAGCATAAAATATAAATAGCTCAGGGATGCAGGCCATATATTCCTCTTCAACCATTTGATTTCGCTTTGTATATTAGTCTTTCCAACATCCCTTTATCCTATATTTTAAATTGGTCACATTGATCCCAGAGGGAGTTCCATTATTTTCCACTACAAAGCAACCACAAATCTCACCACCATGACAAGGTGACCTTATGAGTGTTTTTCACATCTTAATTAAGGGAAATTATTTCCCCTACTGGTGATCCCAACAGAAAGACAGCAGGATCCTAGAGGTGTTTAACTTGTGCAGTATCCGATTTTAACAAGGGAAGACTTCTTGCCAAAAGTCATTTTGGAGAATGAGATCAGAGCATCACCCAATCAACATGGCCTGTAGTTGGGATAATTAAACAGAAAGGGCCTTATGCACTCCAACGTCAGTGAATTGAACAGAAAAACTGACTTCTACAGGCTCTGGGTCAGGTTCAAAAGCGCAGCTTTTCAGGTTAGTTCAAATAACTAAGACACATTCATTTAAGCTGTGACTAAAGAAATTTAAAATTTTCAGTCAAGATTTGTACTTGCTTGAGATGAGACAGCTCTAAAAAGGGGTATCATTTTATATGTAAATTGCTGTGTTTCATGTCTAAAAGTCCTGTTTAGATTTAGAATTTAGAGAAATATTGAAGAATGAGAATCTTAACTTTTAATAGATATTGTTTGGGCAAATAAAATAATCATAAATCATTTGTAAATGAAGAAGCAAAATTTATAGTGCCATTATCTTATCTCAGATGTTATTTTTACTCTGACAGATCTAATAAATTAAAGGAAATATCATTACAATTTCTTATCTCTTTCAGTGAGCAACTGGACATGTGTTTAAACAAAACCTCGCATGTCTGCTTATCATTAACAACATTTTGTTCCATTGTATTTAACTAAAGGTAGCATAATACCATGGAGCTTATGTTGCATTCCAGTGCCTGAGATATAGAAGGGTGCAAAAATTGAGTAATTTGAGATTGAAGACACTAAGTCTGCAGAAGAGAAAGGTCCAGAGAATGCCTGTGCCTTCCTTTCCTGCAGGAGTACTGAACAGCATGTCCTTGGGGCTCAAAGGACTTTTTCAGTTCACAGCCTCAAGAAATCACTAGAAGGCTTTAAACTGTTTCGGTTTCCCAGGTAGAACAGGGCACTTGGAGAACCCCTTTGTGCTCCACTGCATTGCTACAGTAAATCACAACACCTTGGAGTTACTGTGACTGACTGAGAGCTGGGCATTAGAACTGCCCCTCAACCATGCCAGACCTTGGGGTGTAAAATGTGATGAAAGTCATGTATGCCCCTTCCTTCCCATGACTTCACACTCGTCCCCTTAGATGCAAGAGGTTCTCAATCCCACAGCTCACAAGGATTTTCCCAAAACTTTTATCCCTTTATTCAGGGTTGTTTTTTTTTATCCCCCCAACCCTGGTGTTGCACAAAACTTTCACTGTTATCCAAACAGTACTTAAACAATAAAAATAAAAACACCCAAGACAGGAAAAATCTAGGTCAGGAATTTCTTAGAAGTTACACAATATTCTTGTGATGACACCCTGAAAGAAATATGTCCTCCTTTTGGTAAATCACATTTTGTCTGCTTCATAATCCTCTTGGCTCATTCTTTACTATACCCTGGAGTATTACCCTGAACACTTGAATCCCTCTCCTAGAGAGAAGAGAAGCATTAGCTTTTCACAATTAAAAAACATGCTTGGCAAAAGCAGTATCTCTCCAAACTCCAAAAAGATTATTTTCATCTTTATTTTGCTATTCACATTTTTGTCCTCTTGCAATAAAGAACTCTGTATTTAATCACAAGTTTCATAAACAGTTTAGCCCATATTTTTTAGTCAGTTCCTATTCTGGCCTTAGCTTCCCATTAGGTCACCCTATGCTCTCCTCATTTTCAGACAAATCTAGCTTTATCAATTTGTTTGTATTTGAATTGGCTCTGAACTATGGTTTGAGAGAGTAGAGGAACGTGCATCGTGCTCTTCCTTCCTTTTCAGGTTCAATTCCATCTCTCAGTTTAACAAACTCAGCACCAAATACATGTCTGCAGCCAGCTCATACTCATTGTCAGATTAATGTATGTGTGTTGTTTCACGGGCAGCAGAATATTACCTTCACTTATAACCCAAGATTTTGGTTTGTATTACCTGAATGCATACTGACCCCATTGGTTGCTGTTTCAACTCACCAAATCTCACCTTCCATATTGGGTTGGTCTAGCATCTAATTTCCTCTTGAGTGTTTAAATAGGATGTATTAGAAAGTGGAGATATGCCCATTCTGTGCAGCCTGCAAGAGTGAATTTCAAATATACTGCATGACATTGCAAATATCAGTCAGACTATTTAACCTAATGCCTGGTTGTGAAGTCCTGAATATGTTTAAGATACATGAAGACCTGTGGGTAAGAATTTTTGAACAGTAAAAATCCTACTACCTAAGAGACTCACACATGCCAATGAGGAGTTGCAACCTCTGCTGCTGTTGCATCTGTGCTATTGCACAGATTGTATTATTGTGATTGTTACACCTAAATATTGTTAAAGTCAACTGAGAAGCAAATAAACAGGAAAATGGGCAGCAAAGCAATATTTGAAATTGGCTACACAGCTCCTCTATCGAGTTTGCCACAATAGAACTATTCTGTACTGGCAGTCTTACAATTGTGAAAAGGATGTTTCTAGTAGCAGCCTTTTCCAGATGAAGTTCATGTGTGAGTCTGGCTGACAGGCAAGAGTCTCCAACACGTGTAGGGCACATACACCTTAACTCAGTCACATTGGAAACTCTCACCAGGGACTGATTTCTTAAGCACTCTGAGAAACTGTCACAGAAAAATAGGCTTGTAAACTAAAAAGAATAATCCTACTGAAGTCCTCACCGGCTGGATTCCCTGGGCTCTTGGAGCACATGCTTAACCAGGAGCAACAACAGAATAGTGAACTAAATTATACATCATCATGGACTCTTGAGGAGGGAGTCTGTTTTTACTGGCAAAACAAGAAGCCTCAGAAGTTTAGATTCACTTGGCTAAAGCTCACTTTGCAAATACCACATTTTCAGACTTTCATTACAAAGGAAGTTGAGGGTCACTTTACTTAACAAGTAAAGCGCACAAGACCAAGGTGAAGTGAAATACAATTTTCCACCTCAGGAAAATCAATTTGCAATCCAGTGAGGGAAAAGAGCAGGAGGCCCAGTCAAGCAGTGAAAAGGCTTCTCCAGACCATTGTCAGATTGTGAGGCAAAAGGAGTTGTCCACACAGCAGCTGCATAATCAGCATCCCTGGAGTGTTTCTAAATGGCCACAGTTTGCTGGCAAATCCAGTCTGATGATACAAGAGTAAAATGAGGGAGATGCTCCCATAAAAATTACCTATTAACACACAGAAGATGCTTAGCCTGATAATTTATCTTGTTAGTTCAAAACTCCAGATGTGGTGAGAAAGAAAGGCCAGTACCATACCTTTCATTAAAAGCTAATAACTGTAAAAATACATTTAAAGGTTGTTAATTAGCTAAGATAATGGCAACTGAGAACACAACTCTGCTGTCTCACTGGCCCACGCACTCTGTACACAAGATCAAGCAAAATATTAGTAATTGCTGTGTAAACACAGATGGGTGATGAGGGAATAACGCCTTCTGCTGAAATGACCAGCTCTGCGAGCTCAGCTGTGAGTCAGAAGCTGAAAAGCCATTTCTGCTCCCAGCTACAAGATATTACTCTGGAGTTATATCTTGGACTTCAGGGCGCCACTTGTTTCTCTGCTACTATAATTCTCAGCAAAATGTTCCTTGCAAGAGAGGGATTCCTAATGGTATAAAACCCCAAACAAACCACAACAATTCAGTTAAGCCCATTGTGCCAAGAGATGTAGAAAATCACTGAACAGCAAAGAGTATCCTCAGAGGTAAAAAAAGAAAAGAGTGTTTCTCCTTGCAGGTGTATTCTAAATAATTTACAGGCTTGAAAACCCAAACCACTTTTCAACCTTTTGGAAAATGTTGGGCTTTATTTATATACTCCTGCATAAATCTTCATGCTATTTCCTTTTTATGGATTGCTTTCAGTAATTGAGCTATTTTGAAAAAATATAAACACATTTGCCTCATATTTTGTATTTAGACTCACAAGTATTTACTTAATAGTTATTATTCCTGCTGTTGGTTTTAAAATTTTTATTATTATTATTATTAAGAGATGGCATTCTTCCTATAAAGTTGAATTTTTTTTTTCTACCTTTATGTTTTGAACTGTAAATCTATTAGCAAAGCAAATGGTAGAGAGTCGCTTAAAGGAAAAAAAATATATCAAAACTTTGGATAAAGCTTCATTTCATGATGAAATCATAAATGCTCAGTCATATTTTTCACTTAGAGAGGGTAACTTAAAATACCATCTCCATCTCCAGCCTGGAGAGCTTGAGGAAGTTGTTTATTGGGATTCTAGGCTCTTAACAGCTGGAGATCTCAACTGCTCTTTTTACAAATCTCTCTTTTTACAACTTCCTGGCCAATAATAAAAAAATCCCTCAGGTAAAAAGATTTCCTGACATACTTTTTCAGGTATCTTTTCTGATATGATTTAAGGCCATCATTTGGCTGCTGAGTGAAAGGAATGCCCTGGGTGTAACAGCCCCAAAGAGCAGCTCTGCTGTTCTATTGTCCCTATCATGTGGCTTACTACAGAGAGAACAAATACTAATTACCAACAGGTCTGTAGGTAGTATCAGACTGTCTTTCCAAATTTTATTTCCACTTTCCATATATTTCAAAAGAGAAAGAATCAGTTTATGTTTAAAAATTCATTTGCTTTTGAGAGAAGATTTGACTCAATCTCAGCTGCTGATTAAATGTGTATATTATAAACAACAGATGGCTGAAGAAAACATGGTATCACTAGCAGATAGTAGTCTCCAACCTCTACAATTCCCTGAACATGTGTTAAAAATTATTATGGATTTTAGAAAATTCAACTTGTGGAGGGATTAAAAAAAAACAACCAACAAAAACACAACACTGGAGAGAGCTCAGCTACTCCAATTCCTCTGAATCCAAGATTATGAAATGCAAAGCACCAACATTTTTCCTACAATTGCTTGTGTTTGTGCAATTGAGAGGCCAGAAACCAAACCTCACATTCAACTACAGCCAGTGTTATAGGTGGAAGGACAAGCTTCAAGTACACTTAGGTCTGCTTTGTTTAAATATATTTCATGTGCTAAATGACCACAGATTCCTACAGCAAACTCCCACAATTCTAGAATTTTCAAAACCAAACATTTGGGAATGGGGAAACACTTGCAATTCTGCAAAAACACATTGTGATGCTGTTTTGTAGAAGCCGAGAAAGTTCTTTCAGTTAACTCAGATTTTCTAAACTCCTTGTCCAATATGACTTTTTGAGTAATTCACAGGAACACTTGAAGCATAAGGATGAACAGAGAATATTTTACAATATATCTTCCACTGGGAAGTAAGCCAGAGTATAACCTACAGAGAAGGAAAGGGCTTGAGGAAATTCCTGGAATAGCAAGCCATTCAGCTGTAAGCTATAAAGAAAGATATGGCAACCCATTGCTTATTCTTATACTGAACATCTGCTTTCAAAAATCATTCATATTTATCATCTGTTAGTAATAGTTTTCATGTTTTATTACCAACATGCTGTATAATGAAGAATTGGAAAAGCCACACATTCCAAAGAAAAGTCTGTAATTTTCTTAACGCAAACATACAAAGCTTCATAGTACTATTGATGGGCCTGATCCAACCCTCACTGAAATCAGTGGGAGCTGAATGAGCCCCTCTGTGCACAGGAAATGAATTGAAATTAATGAGACTACATATGGTTCCAGGGTAATTTATGTCTTTTCTGGCTGTTAATATTTATAAGACTTTAATCTGCTTCCACTTGTGTCACTGTTTGACTTTCCTGACTGAGCTGACTCTACTCTGAATTTATAGTGGCATGAACAGAAGGAAAAGAAAGGCTATTGTATGTTCACAATTCACTGTATCAAGTTATGACTATTCTCTAAGATTCTCTTATCTCTAAATAAGATTCCTTATTTAGTTTTAACCTTGTAGAAGTTTCTTCTAAGTCTAGAAAATGCTGTTACCTATTGTCCCCTTACCTGTACAAACTCAACTGGACTGTATAGTAGCTGCACAGCACTAGAGCAATAAACATACAGCCTGGAACACACTCCATTAATGCTTGGAGAACAATTTCTTTACTGATAAGCTCTTTCCACAACAGGACAAGCTGTGCCTTGTCAGCTACTGACACCTAGTCACACTGAGAGGCGAACAACAGTTTTCAAATAAAAACTTCTTCACCGTGGCTTTTCAGTTTATTTAACAATACACTCAGAAAGCTTCTGAAAATCTGCATTTATCATTTTTCTTTTCCTACAGAATTCCATTGCTGGAGCTGCATCCAAACAGCTGGCCAGTTTGTACAATACTAAATATACATACGGTCCAGGAGCTGAAACAATCTGTAAGTACTGGCCTAAATATACTAACAATCTATATTAAGTGTTACTAAGACTATAAAATTTTCTAGTGATTCTTGTTCCTCTTCCTAAATAGTCTATTGTACAAAACTACTGGAAAGGAAGGGCATTATTCTTCCAGAAAAAAAAGATGGAGCTGATATCCCAGATCTGCAGCTCTATGAACCTCAAAAAACCACCCAGTGAGAAGCTTTTTGCTTCTGATACCAAACCTTTCTAAACACCCCTATGCAACCACGCCATTCTCCTGTTCCTTAGACATTTCTCCTGTGGTCTCCTCACAACAGTGACAAGGAGGGAACAGTTTAGCTTGTTTACATTTGCTTGCACACATCAGCTAGAATGAAGCTCATAAATGGCCTAAAATCACAGAAACCTTTCCATGAGCAGGATAAATCAATCAATTCACCAAATACATCTTTTTATCTGTCCTTTCTGCATTTCTGGTTACGTGACTTGGCTCCAAAGGATTTCACATTCCAATTCATAGCCACTCTTTCACAGTTAATCCTTATTTTATTTCTTTACCAACAGACCCTGCTGCAGGGGGCTCTGATGACTGGGCTTACGATCAAGGTGTCAAGTACTCTTTCACTTTCGAGCTCCGAGACACTGGCAGATATGGTTTTCTTCTCCCTGAATCTCAGATAAAGCCAACCTGTGAAGAGACTTTACTTGCTGTTAAATATATTGCCAATTATGTCCTTGAGCACTTGTATTAGAATGGAGTTATAAAAACTATTAAAGAAGGCTTTATTCAAAGATGCCTTCCTTCTTATTCTTCCCTAACAAAATGTTTTTATTTCTCTTTACTTAATGTTCTTAGTCATATTCTTAGTCCATCATAGGTCACTAGAACTAGAAGTTTTTCAAGAGAAATTGTAGAAATTCAGGAGAAATAAACCTTTTATTAAGGCAACTGGTATAGTCAGGGCAGTCGTAAAACAAAGAGCACAAGAAGATTAATCATCGTAAGATAAAGGTTACCTTATTGATTAAAATTATCTTTACATATAGGAGATGGGCCAAGCATTAGAGCTTACACAGCCTGAATGCTGACCAGAATGAAAACAGCCAGGTGATCCATACAAATGCACTTTGACCCAACCATTCATTGCCTTAATGGCAACAGTAGCAAGAAGTTCATATCACATACTTTCAAAATGATGTTAGCTGTGATGTGCTCTCGTGAATTTTCTCGAAACTCACCCTGGATCTGTCCCACCACTGAAAAATAGCTTGGATCTGAGGTCCCTACTAGTTTGATCTGAACTCAGTGAAGATTATAATTATAGTTAAAGACCAAGACTTGCTATAAATCGTTCAATAAACTACCCTGAATTTAAGGTTCTCACATTCACTACAGTAGCATCTCTCAAAATATTCCCAGAGTTCTGCTACTTCCTGGGGCCCCACATGTTCCTACTGTCATGAGCGGAAGAACCATAAACAGCCATAAAGACTAAGTCTGGTGATAAATGATTAACTGTTTCTTTCAAAAAAGAAAAGCTGTAAAGAATTATCCTCTCCCAATCAATTTTCTGTACAGGTAATGTGGGTCTGATTGGGTCAGTGAGTGAGAGTGATAAATAGCCACTCGACATCTTTCTTACACAGCTGCAGAAAATGTGTTTGGCATCTATTAATGCTGTTTAGAGCTTGGCTAATACGGGACACACTCTGCAGAATGACAGGGAAAACCTTATGTCAACATAGAACCTGGCTGATCTCCCTGCCTCTGCTGGAAGCTCTGAGGAGAGATTTCCGCTGTCCATTGATGCTCCAGGGATTAACCCCATTTCTGGCAGGTCTCTACCTAATGCACTCCAAACATCCCCTGAAATACATCCTACAGAGAAAATAGTTCTCCCAAGAAGACCACCAAATTCAAGACCTGGCAAGAACTACGTTCTCCCTTTTTGCCCCTTCTCTGTGGAAGGAAACAGGAAGACAAGGTCCAATTTAAAATTACATCTTAATTTATACGTACAAGAAAAAGAAAGACACATATCCGCTAGTCCACTCCAATCAGCCCAGCAGCACTGGGATTAAACTGGTCCTCACACACGACTGATCCATCTGTTTTTGATCACTGGTGAAACTGAACCCGTGTGTGAAAGTAGCATGTACCAGTAAAAAGACGTCATTCTGTGTTGCAATAGAAATGGGGGGAAGGACAATCAACATTACTAAAAATAGCACAGGACACATCAGAACATTCTGGCCAAAGCCAAAGAGGTCACAAAGGGCAGGAAAAAAAATTTCTCAGAATATAAAATATTTTGGCTACTTTTAACTAAGTATTAACAACCACCCAGAGACTATGCTGACTGTAACTATATTATTTGGGAAGACTTCACAGGCTTTACATCAATTGCAAGGTGAGTCATTGATACTCAGCACTTAGTGCTATGGTTTAGTTGACAAGGTGATGTTTAGTCAAAGGTTGGGCTTGAAGATCCTGGAGGCCTTTTCCAACCTTAATGATTCTATGATTCTATTCTACGATTCTATGATTCTGTGATTTAATACTAGGCAGGCTCTTTGTAAGACTGCAGGCAACCAAACACACAGCTACAAATACAGTTGAGAGGTAGGTCTCAGCACCCAGCAGCTCCAACAGGGTTACAGTTACCCCAGTTAATGTCAACATGTGACTCCAAGGCAGAACATGGCACACATTTGGTAGCCCTGACATTCCCAAAGCCAAGTCACAGCAGTGCAGTGATACGCAGCTTTTCCATGCCTTAGCCCAGAAGGCCCCCACTAGCACTGCTGGTCAAATTGCACAGATGCAAAGAGCAATCAAATGTGGTATTATCATCCATGCAGCTTGGAACATAAACCAAAAAACATATAGGAGAAATTTAAGCCAGAAAGGACATTCTAGCAGGTAAGCTGCTAGGGCAGAGACACTGAAAAAAAACACGGAGAGGAAGTAAAGGTTCACCAACATCAAAAGTCACAACACTTCAAATTTCAGCATCACTTTCAAAAAACCAGGGAAACTTCACATGCAAAACTGATAGACAACATATTTTCAAATTAAAGGACATGAAACTCCACGTGAATACAAGAAAATACCTTTTTACTGCAGATCTTCAAACCCTGAAACAGGTTGCCCAGAAGTGTTGTGGAGTCTCCATCCTTGGAGGCATTGTTCAAAACTTGACTAGACACAGCCCTGGGCAACCTGCTTTATGCTTTAGGTGATCCTTCTTTGAGCAGGAGTTTGAACTGGATGGTCTTGAGTGGTCTCATCCACCCTGAACTGTTCTGTGATCCTGTGAAGTTAATCTCTGCCTGATGCAGGTCAACCAAGGACTGAGATGAACAATTTCAGCTTTTTCTGCTTGATTTATACTGCTTCTTTAATTAGATAAATAGAAAAGGAACATTCTGTTTTCTTGATTAAGAATCACATCAAAAAGCTGCCATCTTTTTCACATTTAGCTATTGTTTAGTCAAGTACATTTAAACAGTCAGTTCATTTCAGTGCTCCAAAACTCAAAAGGAATTAAGACCTGATGAAGTGCTTTAAAGACAATGTACTGTCCACGTGCCAGGTCTCACAGGAGTGATATCAGAGATACCAGACCACTGGAAATCTCCCTTCAGTATAGATCACAGCTGAAAGAGGCATTACTTACAAATTCTTGATTCTTTAACATATAAAACAGGTAACTCACACACAGAAATGAAGGAAATGCAGTAAATCCCGACAGTTGTGAGAGAGTTAAACATGAGCTTCTGAGGAAGGTGTTTCCAAGTTTGCTCAAAGTTCTCAAGCAACTGCTGACAGATAATGGTAATTCAGAGAAGGAAACTTCTGTTCTTAATGATCCAGACAAAACTGCCTCAAAAACTGTGCTAGAAAATAAACCTGTGCTTACAGTTCAGCCTGCTCTGAAGTCTGCTTTGCTGACATATGGCCTCAGCATGCTTCCTGTCACTTTGAATTTTTCCAAGGACAGATGTGGGCTGTGCACTGAAGCAGGTTGCCTCTGTGCTCCCCCCTGCACTCAGAACAGCTGCATTACAGCTGCATACAGCATCTACTACTGATACTGAAAAGCAGCAGAAACAAACTTCTTAACACCAATTTGTAGATGCTAAAAAGGGCATTCTTCTTTATTCAGCGTGCTGGATGTTCGGAGGATAGCTTCTCTAATTGAATGTGCCAAATGACAGACAGGCAGGGCCTTTTATTACACCTACTGTTTACACCTACTATTCATTAGATAGTCTTGCTTACTTAATATATTAGTTTGTTTACACAGTCATACCCCCATTGGAAGTCCTTCTTTGGTCTTTCCGGGTCTTCTTTGTTGTCTTGACTTCAGTTCTTGAGCAGGTACAGCATCATTGTGTTCCACCACCAAAAACTGTTACATTTGTTCTTTATTTGATCTTATTTGGGTACACAGAGCTTAGTTTACATCTTTTTGTTTGAGTACATCCTTATGGAATTCTTCTATCAAATCCTCCCTTTTTCTTGAGACTAAATTTGTTAAGGGAATTAGTCTCTCAATGTATATATTTTATTTTATACCATAAGGCATTGCAGTAACTACAACACTGAATCATGATGCAAGCTAAAATACAAATGGCAATTATTATGATTAGAACTATGAAGAACTGCTTTAGCCACCTAAAATTAGGTAACCAGGAGGTCAGGGTATTCCAGATTTCTTGAAAGCCTAGACAGGTATCATCCTCAGCTACCTGATGTAAAATTTCAGTTTGTTTCTGAATTTCCTGGACATCTGTAGACACTCTACCACTCTGGTCAATGCACACTCAACAGCTGGTGCTAATGACAGTGCATACTCCTCCTTGTGATGCTGAAGAAGGTCTTGTGCCATTTGGTTCTGTAAAACAACTTGTGACAAGCTAATAACTTCTTCCTGTAAAGCAATAATGGCATCCATTGTACGATTTTCTAAATATTCTATGGTAACAGAAATGTTTACTATTGTTTTTTCTAATCACTCACTCCTAGCCAGGGTAAAAAACATCTTACAAAACTATGAAATCCAGTTGGCTGTTTTGTTATAGCACGTAAGGTTCATTTTGTGCACCCCAAAGAGCTTCTTATCCATAATTCTGAGGGTACTTGACCTTTATCAATTACTGTTATGTTGGGGACTAAGGCTTCTAAAGTACAAATATCTTTCCAGCCCAGGGGAAACACTTTACGGACTTTATTTCCACATATCCAATGTGGAAATCCTTGTTCCATTTGGTACTGGTGAAAGATGATTCATTTCTCCAATATTAATTGTTTGAGTACATTTGTGGGATTTCTGACAAACATGACGCTTCCATCAATACAATCTAGTTTTCCTGATTCTTTAAGGGAGTTACATCTTTCCACACATTGTATGATCATAAGAAATATTACTGGGTACTTGCACACTAACTGGTATGTCTACTTTTTGGTGAAAGGAAGTGTTTACCCAGTCACTAGTATCTATTTCTCCTGGAATTGGAAATGCATAAATGGTTAATGGCTTCATTGAGTTTTTAGGTATGAGTGCAAAACCAACAATCATTTTTATGCAACACTTGGGCCACATTTTGTAATAAAACTAGATATAAATTTTGATCCCAAGTCAAGATTTAATTTACTATTGTCAGGATAACAAAACAAGATTTAAGCATTTTGTTTCTTTTCAGACAACTGATCAATTACCCAAGGGGCTTCAGCCTTTTTAATTCTGGAATAATGTATCCGTGATTTTACTCCGTCTAGTTTTAATGCACTATAAGAGGAGAGGAAACAGCCAAATGCCACTTTTGAGAATGGGAGAGGAAGGATGCCAGGCTACTTGTGGTAAACTTTGCAACCACAGAAAATAGAGAATTTGCGATCAGTAAGCAAATACATGCAAATATTGCCAAACATCTAAAACCTTTTCTTCAAAACTTCTTTAAGAGTTGGCAAACACTGAAGTGTTTTCTTGTAGCATTTAACAGAAGACCTAAGATGCTTTACTGGAGTTCTTCAAGGAAAATATGAATCACATTGCTTTAATAAAAAAAATCAACTTCCAATTTCCTGGCTTCATGGGGAAAAATCATATACTCAGGTTTCTCTTTAATACATTGATACATTAGGCCATAAGAACCAGCATAAAGACTGTAATGAAAAGAAAAAAGGAAACCAGTTCAGGAGTAATGGCTGTCATTCCCACAGAGCCCTGTGCTGCTGCTCCTGACATCAGAGAGTGAGGCCACTGAGTACAGTTCAGTGTCACAGCAATCCACCAGTTCCTGTCCAGAAGTGACACAGCTCAGAGCATCTCTGTTCCTGACAGAGTTAGTCATAACCCCATCAGCCTGCCAC